CAGAGACCAGGAACCCAACTACAGGTGAGTTTTTTTTAGTCCCACGGGGCAATTTGCCCAGAAGGACTATTAATTTCGTTTTGGCATTTTGCGTTGTTTCACTTTTCAAATTGTTGCCACCAAACATTATAGACCTGTATTATATTTGAAGATATTAAATAATGAAGAATCTGCATAAATGTATGTATGTTTCTCCCATTTCGACAAATCAACGGTACCTAGCCATCAACTTTTAAATAATGTAATCCTCCTGCGAATATGGGCATCTGGAAACCCAAATTTAAAGTTTGAAATTTGTTTTATTATCGATTTCATATTTTGTAAAACTTTAACGAATTTTTGATTAACAAGCTCCAGGATTTCAAAGCGAGCAATGGCGGCGTTGTACAGAAAAAACATTTTTATCTCCAGCGCGCGAGACTGTGTATCGGAAATTCTAAAGGTATGCTCGTTTTTAAAATTATTTTCCGATATTGCTCTTGAACTGAATTTTATGGTTCAAGTGTGAAGAACATGATATTTAATAAATAAATGTAACACACAAAATGTTAATAAAAGTTTCTTTGGCCTTAATTTTAAATCTGATACCTTTCAGATTTATTATTATTATTATCATTATTCCAGACGAAATCATCCTAGCCTTCAAGCACTAACTTGACACTTTTGTTTCTTACAAATATAGTTGACTCAATCATGAGCATTTCGCTCAACGCTTCTAGTTTGTTCAGGGATCTGAATTCCGGCAAATGGGCTAGATGCATGGGCATTTTAATAGTTTTTCCTAAGTATAACATGGATTCGAGCCGTTTCTCTTTAAAAAGTCCTCCACGGGGCATCCCTACCTTTGTCGAATAGCCTTGCGCTCAACGTCATAATAATTTTTTTTTTTAAATGTCATAGGTAGTAAATATTTGAGAATGGTACTTTTGAATAATAGGCAAACGTGCGACATTTCATCAAGGATGTTTTTCGTAGGCAAACACCTGTTTCTTTCTATGAAACGTAGGTGAACCTAACTTTTTTATGAAAGCATACGCATACTTGTTTTTTTCTATTAAAAATTCAGCAATTTCAGTTAGGCAGATTTTCTGATGAACAACAGAATAACCTTTTGCTGTGGAATGGTTTTGAAGACGCCCGGGTACCTGAGCGAACCTCACTTCAAACCGAAAAATAGAAAGCTTCGAAACAGTATTTCAACTAAATTAGGATAGATTATAATAAAATTATATATACATATTCTAATATTTATATTTCTTTCCTTTCTAATAATATAAAAAGCATTAAAATTTGTACTAGAAAATGGATAAATGGGAAGAAGCATCAGTAAGCAATGGTGAGCTAGTGCGAAAAGTCATACTAACTGTGGAAAGGTAGAATAAAAATTACGTATAAAAATACACAAACATGCAACATAAGTAGGAAAAGAAAGCAAAGTAATAATACATTAATCTCCCATTAAAGGGGTTTCGAATCTCCCACCACGACCTCTCGAGTGGACTTGCTTTACAAGCTGCTCCTCTTGCTCTATAAGCATCCAATCTTCGCAATGACCTATATCATTAATAGTTAAAAAGAATCCTTTCCTTCACACCTAAGTTTGATTTTTTACTCTACGGACAGAAAAGCTTAGCGGGTGCAAAACAAGATTCAAAGATTTGGAGTGCTCCATTTATGATAAGATAGCTGTTAATTCATCGAGTAGATGACTTATAAAACCCTTTTGAGCTAGCCAATGTTTGAAATGTAACGCCTTACGTAACAGAACAAAGACATAAAAGTCAGAAAGAATTTTACCTAATATTAATTTTCATAATTCATTGTTAAATGAAACTAAAACTAATTTTTATTATTTTGCCATTGTTCTCTTTTAACCGGTTCATTTTAAACCTAATATTCTAATTTGAAAGCCAGTGAAAAGGTTTTTGCGAGGCAATAAAGCAGTGCTGCAATACAAAATATGCATGTTTCTGAAGAACAAAATTATGATCGTTTTCAGTTCTTAAATATCGATATACCGTTACATTTCATAAAAATAATGACTAAAGATAAGTAATTTTTTGTGTAAAATTAAACAAGTAATTAAATAGAAATAAAACAAATATAATAAACTGTAAAAAATATTTGTCAGTAATCATAAGAAATATAAAAAATAATTGTTGAGCCAAATAAAATGACTGTGAAACATTTTCAGGAGCTGACGAAAGGAAATAAAAATTCGCCATATCACTGCCCTTCGGGAATCGCTCTGGATGTTAAATCAAGACTTAATCTGCAAAGAGTACATGGCCGCCCTGCTCTGGTGTCCAGCTGCGATGTTTACTCGCCCAGTTAAACCACACTGTAACATGTGGGCAAAAGGAATACACATCAGAGGCAGTCGGGCATACAGTCTATCTTCATGCAGTCGACGCGACGTAGTTTCGTGGGATATGGGCCATCTTGCAGCAGCAGAGAGATGCGACGCCAGCTCGTGCATAGCCCATACACAAAACTTCGTTACATTTCGTTCACTCGTTTGCGCTGTAGGATGCTGTTTATAGGGGAAATTTAATTAAAAACAACCGGTATGTATAAATTTTATTACAAATTTTAAAGTACATTACTTATACACACGCACGCCTTTTAATCTCCTCATAGCGAGATTGTTTATTCATAGCCATTCCTTGTTTCAACGAAATTTTCTCAATTTTTCATAACTATTTCTTGTTTCAACAAAATTTTCTCAACTGTTTCTGTCGTGTTTTGTTGGTTTATTTGACTAAGACAAAGCACGCGAGAACTATCTGTCTAAAGAGAGAAATGCATTCATGAAGGCAGAGCCGATCCTAGCGGGAGGGTAAGATGGTGCACAGCACATGGGCGGCGAAATAATTATCAAACATTATTATATTTCTGTAAAAAAGGGGGGTCAGTTTTAATTTGCACGTGGCAGGCCGACAGTCTACGACCGGTACTGCATGAAGGATTGTATAAAGGAAATTCCCTCGTATCTGCGTTATACTTGGGGAAAACTATAAAAACGCTCATGTAATTCGTTCGCTTGGATTCGAACCTATGTTGAACTATCAGTGTTCAGCGGCTTTGGGTCTTGGCATAATGTTTCAGTTGCTAAATCTGGCGGAAAGAGATTTGATACAGTAAAAAGTTTCAATTATGTTATATATTAGCTTGAAGAAAAGTATGTATCATGTTTCACATTTGAGTTGGCATATAGGAGAAAGAAGTTTAGTTTGCTTTATTTGATGATGATGATGAAGATCGTATTTCATTCTCGAGTGTCAAAAAGATGTAGAAACATCTTTTTATTCTGCTTCTGATAAGCAATCAGGGGAAAAGGAAAGGAGAACAGTGTAGCAGGAGGTGTGGGAGGGGGTGAGAACAAATCTTGTTCGCGCTTTAACGGCGGCGAATGGGGAGTGAGGTCAGGGACGTTACAAGATGAAGCGGGTCTAAACCGCAGAGTCAATTAGCGTGAATGAGTCAATTATGGTGTTATTTGTTAAGTGGGCAGTATGTCACAAATGTTTCTCCTGGGGTGCGGGGAGTGTCTGAGAATGCTAATAAGGCTGTTACTGTGGGATTGTACTGAGTGAAAGAAGTTGACTGCTAAGCGTTTAACATAGTCTTGTATGGGTTCAATTTGAAGGTCTCTGTAAATGTAAGTGTTTGGACTATACCAAGGAGCATTGATAATTTCTCGTAAGATTTTATTTTGTAGAACTTGTAATTGTTTAGTATTGGCTTTAGCTGCATGTTCCCAGATCAGAGCTGCATAAAGAAGGACTGGACGAAGTATCGAGTGGTATAACATTAATTTGTTAGTTGTAGATAAGTTGCTTCTTCTACCAAGAAGAGGTCGCATAGTTGCCGAGGTGATTTTAAATTTTTTGTGCTACTGAGTGGAAGTGGGTTCTGAAGGTAACTTTTGAATCCAGGGTGACTCCAAGGTATTTGGTTTCATTAATCCAGTCTATTTCTTCGTCAAGTATTTCAGGGGGTGGAAAGTAATAATTTATGTTTCCCTTACCGAAAATTATTGCTTTGGTTTTATCAGTGTTCATTTGAATCCTCCAAAAGATGAGTCATTTTTCCAGTTTTATGAAATAGTTTTGGAGTTGCTTTCTTACGGCGATTGCTGTGCAGGCTTTAGTAAGGATGGCAATGTCATCGGCAAAGAGTGCAGGATGAACAGAAGGATCTTTAGGGATGTCTTGCGTATAAATATTAAAAAGATACGGCGAAAGTGCCTGCCCCCTGTGGGACACCAGCTTTGATTACTCTGGTGGTAGAGTAAGCAGTTCCAATTTTGATTCTGAATGTTCTGTTGCTGAGAAAAGAGACAATTAAGTGAATAAATTGATCTGGAAAATTGAGAATGATTAATTTGTAGATGAGTCCGTGACGCCATATCCTGTCAAAAGCCGTCGCGATGCTTTATTTGACTTTGTTGCAAATCGATATTTTAATTATAAAGTAAATAAAAGTACGCGTGTCTTAATAATAAGAAATGGGTTCTGAAGTTTATGAAATATTTAATGTACATAAAGCTAAGACAGTTTTCCTGAATGTACATACTGTGAATAAATAAATTCTTCATATAAGCTACGCCATTTTAACAAAGCACTCGAGCGCTATCTGCCTAAGGGAAAAGTTGTCTTCGCGGAGGACTTTCTAAGAGAAACTGCTTCATATCTATATTACACATGGTGAAAAACACGAAAACTTTCATAAAGCCATCCTGTTAGTGATTCGATATATCAATTTCAGTTTATTTCGCTTTCATATTGCTGATAAAATAAAAACAGTTGTTTTAAATGCTGCTTCATCTCATTTATTGTGTATAACAAAAGGATTTATTCAGCTGAATAATTTATATATACATTTGTTTATCAATAACCAGAATTCATTCCTGAAAAATTTTCGGACAACTTTTATTACTGTTATTGCAACTGGCATCATCAAAGTTTCTTTAGTTTTGTGAGTATGTCAGATGGGTGTTCCAGCAGAGGATTTAGAGAATTAAAGGATGAGTTGGAATCAAAACAAGATGGTAGAGATGAAGATCTCTATCAGCTGGAACACTCATTAGAGAGCGACAGCCCACTTAACAATAATTTTCGTAAGTGTGAAGAATACTAGAATCTTAGAATAATTTTTTTATCTAAAATTATCGTTGCAGAATTGCTATCTTAAATCTGTATTCTCAAAAAAATATTTTATTATTTTCTATATGTAATAGATTCAGCATATTTTAAATTTATGTTTGAATTATGAATTTAATTTATTCAAATCTTTTTAACTTTGTTTACATTTTCATATCAGTTGTACTTGACGTAAGATCCTAATAGCGTTGAAAAATGTTTATATGATAAAGTCACTCAAATGCTTTTTATATGAAGCATAATAATAATTAGAAAAAGTTTAGAAAACCTTTTAATAGGTCCTCTTAGTAAAATTAAATGAAATATTTTGTAGATAAGCAATGTGTAAAAATAATTTGAAATGCCTAATACATTCAATCTATTATTGTCAAAGATATAAAAAAAATTGGGGAACGTGCAGAATCACCCACTGCTTGGCGCGTTTTTAAGAATTGCACATACTCAGTATCCATGTACACTTGGACCTTTTTCACTTCAAAAAAATCCCAGAATTGCACAAAAATGGCATTGTCCATGTACTTGACCATGTCCATTGACTTCAGCCATGTACACATCGACCTATTTTTTACTTAAAGAGTCAAAGAAATGAACAAAAATCCAATTCTTCTTACTCTTGTAAAAAGCGCCAAACAAATAATTGGGCCATTGTGCACTTTAACCAAAAAAATTTAGTTGGAGCAGCAGAACAATTTTATTTTACAATAAAGTAAGACAAATTAAATTTCAAAAGTTAGACAAGATAAATGGTCATATTTGTTCACTAGACTGGGTTTATATGTATTGCATATTTATCCCGACATATTTCTAGATCTGTATAAAAATACTAAATGATTTGTTTTTTCTCTTAAATCTGGAAATTAAGGAGGAAAAGAGTTTTATTTCATTCAGTTGGGCATGCAGTAATTCTTTCTAAAATATTTTTTATTTTTGTTAAAACTTAGTTGTAATATTTATATATGCAACTTCTCTCTCTTCAGTTAACTTCTTTTTATCATATATGTAGGCAAAAAAAAAAAAAAAAAAAAGTCTGATCTTTGAAATAGGGTAACAGGTAGTTTGGCGACATTTTGGAGGCGATAAAGGTTACTACTTAGGGCTTTGGTAATCATGCGAGAAGTACTCAGTTCCGATTACGCATTATTTTGTGTGAGGGAAATGAGAGATCATGAGATATGTCATGTGACATTAATCGACGAATTACAGTTCTTTAATCGGGAAAGGGGATAAAAATCTCTGGGTAAAATCCTAGTATACGGTGCAGCCTTGGCACGATTTTGAAAATTATCGCCAACACCAAATGACCAAAGAACGTCTATGTATATACTATACACTATTTTAGTATATACATAGTAATACTAGTGTAACTATATATATTCTTTGAATGCCGTTACTAACGTATGTGTACCGTTTTACTGCTCTCAAAAGCCGCCAAAAGTAGCCAAATCCCGTGTGAACCGGATACTAGGATTAACCAATATCTGTAGTATATATATTTGTATTAAGCTTCTTGTGGTTGTGTGAAATAGGTTGATTAATTTTTGGATTGCAGGCACTATCTAAAGCATTCTAAATTTTTAATGCGTTTATTGATAATTCAAAAGAATTGGCTGAATGGTGTTGAGTGTAGGTTTAATTGCGGATAAGTATGAATGTCCATCATGTGGGAATGAAATGATATTGTGTGAAAGGAAGGATATCACACATAAGTTTGAATGGCGGTGCAAGAAATCTGGTAAAAATGGACATTTTGTGATCCGCCATGCACTCAAGATTCTGTAGAAGATTAGGTAAGTTAGTATTTTTAATTATTTGAGGATATTATTTTTATGCATTGTTCTAAATGTAAGGAGTAAATAAAGTAATATGGTATTATTGGAAAAATGTTATTAGCAATGATTTAGTTTAAAGTAATTAGGATTGTAAGCTAATTTTATTAATTTAATGTATAGCTTATTTATATTTTAAGTAGTGTTTTTTAATTTAATTATATTTTAATTAAATGATAGTTATTTTGTGGATTTTATGTTTGTAGCAATTTGGTATATACGTTTCAGTTTGAAGTAAACGTGCATGGAAATAATTTAAATATTTGACACTAAGTATTTGTAACCATTTTTAATGTTTGCGGTATAAATTCGTTGGTGACGTGTATAATATAATAGGATTTAGAGGTAAAAGTTTTTGGATATTTTTATTTTATAACGTGGAAATGTTTCATTCTTGGAAAGGGTATATACTTTTTTCGCGATCAGGTAATTTCATATATGTTCTTTTTACCGGATTTAAAGATTCACAAAATTTTTCATGCATTTTCATGAAATTTTTCTAATTTATGAGAAAAAAGCAGTGTACATGGATATAGTGAAGAGTGTGCGCAATGCCATTTTTGTGCAATTCTGGGATGTTTTTTTTAAGTAAAAATAAGTCGACGTGTACATGGTTTAGTGATATTTTAATTAAATGATAGTTATTTTGTGAATTTTATGTTTGTAGGAATTTGGTATACGTTTTAGTTGAAGTAAATGTGCATGGAAATAATTTAAATATTTGACACTAAGTATTTGTAATGTTTGCGGTATGAATTCGTTGGTGACGTTTATAATAGATAATTTAGAGGTAAAAGTTTTTGGATATTTTATTTATTTTATATGTGGAAATGTTCGTATTTGGAAAGGGGGGTTGATCTTTACATTATGGTAACTTGGCGATTTTTTGGCGAAAATTTGGCGACCAACTCTCCTACAGCAACCCTCTATTTTTTTTTCCCGCCGACATTGTGTCTTCACGAAGCAAAGACATGTTTCTTTTCTTTTTATCTACTGAACACTTCTTCCAACAATCTACTAGCCGAATTACACTTATGCTAGAAATTTTATCTAACAAAACTGCTTAATCATGACAAATATTCACTGCAAAATTGGGAAAAAGTGCACAATCCAACTCCTTACGCGTTTTTCAAAATAACACATACACATAAACCATGTACACGTCGACTTATTTTTACTTAAAAAAACATTCCAGAATTGCACAAAAATGGCATTGCGCACACTCTTCACTATATCCATGTACACTGCTTTTTTCTCATAAATTAGAAAAATTTCACGAAAATGCATGAAAATTTTGTGAATCTTTAAACCCGGTAAAAAGAACATATATGAAATTACCTGATCGCGAAAAAGTATATACCCTTTCCAAAGATGAACATTTCCACGTATAAAATAAATAAAATATCCAAAAACTTTTACCTCTAAATTATCTATTATATTATAAACGTCACCAACGAATTCATACCGCAAACATTAAAAATGGTTACAAATACTTAGTGTCAAATATTTAAATTATTTCCATGCACGTTTACTTCAACTGAAACGTATACCAAATTCCTACAAACATAAAATTCACAAAATAACTATCATTTAATTAAAATATCACTAAACCATGTACACGTCGACTTATTTTTACTTAAAAAAAAAAAAAAAAAAAACATCCCAGAATTGCACAAAAATGGCATTGCGCACACTCTTCACTATATCCATGTACACTGCTTTTTTTCTCATAAATTAGAAAAATTTCACGAAAATGCATGACAATTTTCTGAATCTTTAAACCCGGTAAAAAGAACATATATGAAATTACCTGATCGCGAAAAAGTATATACCCTTTCCAATATGAACATTTCCAAGTATAAAATAAATAAAATATCCAAAAACTTTTACCTCTAAATTATCTATTATATTATAAACGTCACCAACGAATTCATACCGCAAACATTACAAATACTTAGTGTCAAATATTTTAAATTATTTCCATGCACGTTTACTTCAACTAAAACGTATACCAAATTCCTACAAACATAAAATTCACAAAATAACTATCATTTATTAATTAAATATCACTAAACCATGTACACGTCGACTTATTTTTACTTAAAAAAACATCCCAGAATTGCACAAAAATGGCATTGCGCACACTCTTCACTATATCCATGTACACTGCTTTTTTCTCATAAATTAGAAAAATTTCACGAAAATGCATGAAAATACTCAACGTATACTACTCAAACGTATTCCAAAATACTACAAACATATAACTCACAAAATCACGATCATTAAATTAAAATATAATTAAATTAAAAACACTACTTAAAATATAAATAAGCACATACATTAAATTAATAAAAATTAGATTACAATCCTAATTACTTTAAACTAAATCATTGCTAATAACAATTTTCCAATAATACCATATTAATTTATTTACTCCTTACATTTAGAACAATGCATAAAAATAATATCCTCAAATAATTAAAAATACTAACTTACCTAATCTTCTTCAGAATCTTGATTACGTGTCCGATAAACTTTTCTTATTCATGTTTCAGGATCTTTAAAATCATACTTATAGTTCACAGCAAGGTACCAGGTAAAATAAATAACTTAATAAAACATCTTTACTTCTAATCTCGCACAACCTTAAAAAACACTTATTACTACTACCCCTTTCAATCCCACTAAATACCCATTTCGAATTCACTTTAGTTAGGGCCATGGGATCCAAAAATTAACGAACACTGTTTCACACAACACAGAATAAAGCTAAATACAAAATTTCCAGATTTTTTCCCGATTTCCCCCCTTTTCCGATTAAAGAACTGTAATTCGTCCATTAATGTCACATGACATATCTCATGATCTCTCATTTCCCTCACACAAAATAATGCGTAATCGGAACTGAGTACTTCTCACATTATAACCAAAGTCCCAGGTAGTAACCTTTATCGCCTCCAAAATGTCGCCAAACTACCATTTACCATATTCTAAAGATCAGCTGAAAGGGTATATACTTTTTCGCGATAAGGTAATTTTATATATGTTCTTTTTACCGGGTTTAAAGATTCAGAAAATTGTCATGCATTTTCGTGAAATTTTTCTAATTTATGAGAAAAAAGCAGTGTACA